CCCTCCAGCCAATTCGCCACCCACCGGACTGTGTAGTCATCCAAGTCACAGCCTCTTAACTTGTTCACCAGTATGGGGTGGGATACCGTATCGAAGGCCTTCCTGAAGTCTAAGTATACGACATCCACCCCTCCTCTTGTGTCCAGGCGTTTCGTAACCTGGTCATAAAAAGAAACTAGACTGGTCAGGCACGATCTGCCTGCCACGAACCCGTGCTGGTTTCCCCTCAGTATAAGTTTTTAAGTTTTTGCATGGATATGATATCTTAGTTTGATCCCTTTTGTTTCACATTTAGTGGTTTTCAGGTACCTAGCTATTCCTCTAAGCTTATTAATTTCAAGCAAACTGAAGGCAGACACAATTCTTTAGGTAAATGTCACCCTATTAGACCAACTAAATAGTTGGAAAAAACTTGGTTTTTGCAAGCCTTCAGGCACAAATGCCCTTCTTCAGGCATAAGGAAAGTCTGCTGTTTTTTTGTGTTCTCCTGAATGGAACAGAAACCAACATGCAAAGTCCAGGTCTGTGACAATGCAAATGTGTGGCAATGAGGATTAGAGGCCACAGGAGACGATAGGTGAGGGACAGGTAGGGGAGGAGGGGAGGGAAGGGAGGAACGTTGACCTGGTGATAGAATGTAGCTAGTAAAAATGTAGAGAGGTTACCTGGGGTTATCAGATGGCAGGCAGGTTATAACGTGCCATAAATCCAATGTTTTGTAAACTCCCTTTGAGGATCAGAACTCTCTCTCCAATATATGGTCCAATAACAGATATCACCAAAGGGAAAAAAAATTCCAACCCTTTTCCCCTCTTAAAAACTGAAGTAACCCTGTAGATCTCAGAGTTTTACGTGACTGACAATTTTCGGAAGAAAACGAGTATATTTTAAACAGCTGAGTCCTTGATACAGTGCGGCTGAACTTGCAATTGTGAAAACATGAGACAGGTATGCTTGTGGGTGTCCAAACTGACATGTCATTTTTTGACATCTGGAGTCAGCTGAGGATCCACCTCAGCTACCATTTACTTAAACCAGTGGTTCTCACTAGGTTGCTGCAAAATCCTTTCAGGAGTTATGCAGCATGGATGCTGCTTCCACAGCTAAGTAAAAGTGTTACATGTGCCTTGTGCACAGCTAGACCAGGAAGGGCTGTAGCACCCATGCACATATGCCTCCATTAGGGTTATATGATGAGCCTAAAAGGAGGCAGGTGTGCCCACTCTGGCCTCAGCCCTTCCCAGTCCACTCTCTCCCCCACTTTCTTTCTGGAAGCAGTAGTGGGCAGAACAGTTCAACCTTCCCCATGCACTTGTTTCTGGTAGATGCTATGCAGGGTTGAATGGGGGAGGACCCAGTTTTACAGTCCAACTCAAAATTTAAACTAATTTTAAGACAGAGCTTGATATGTTGCTGGCCCTAACTGTTCCTTTTAGAAAACCGTTCTAGAACCATACTCCTGTGATGATTAGAAAGCTTCTAAACTTTCAGCTTAAAATTTACTCATAGCTAGTTTATATGCTTTGGGTTTTTTAAATACCTTGAACAGAAAAAAACAAATTAAATTTGGTTTTAAATATTTACGTATCATGTATTAAATATCTAACTTCCCTCACTAGTCAGTTATGTCCCCACCCCCAAGTCTCTGCATTAAACATCTCCAAACAAGTTGTCATATTGCTTAGACACAAAGGAAGAAATCCACAAAGCAGATGTGGTGAAGTGACACATTTTATGTGATAGGACAAACCTCTGCCATGACAGAAACAAAAGTTTCCTCAAAGTACCACCACAATCAAGCTTGTCTTGTAAATCGCAATAGTGGTAGAACTTAAACATGGAGCATTTTCCCCATTCCTG